TATAACAAAGGATTCTTAAGTAATGGTCTAATCAAGTTTTTTCCCTATTTGACCTTGAGGAAGAAAAGAGGTCAAGGTCAAAAATGTTGGTGTATTGCATCTTGTATCAATGTCTTCTTTCTATGTTACAAGTTTGAAGTCCTAATATCAAAGGGTACTCAAGCTATGGCTTGGACTCTATTTTGATGTAAAAGATTGACCTTGACCTTATAATAATTGAATCAAGGTCAAAAATTTTGGTGGCATGCATCCCTCCTTTATACCACCTCTGCATGTTCCAAGTTTGAAGTCTTAATGTCAAAAGGTTCTCAAGTTATGGTCAGATCGTGTTTTTTCCCTATTTGACCTTGAAGGCAGAAAGGGGTCAAGGTCAAAATTCTAATGCAGTGCATTTTGTCTCAAGGTCTTCTTCCTATGTTACAAGTTTGAAGTCCTAATATCAAAGGGATCTCAAGTTATGGGCTAAACTCTATTTTGATGTAAAAGATTGACCTTGACCTTATAAATAGGTCAAGGTCAAAAATGTGGGTGGCGTGCACTCCTTCTCAATGTCATCTATCTATGTTCCAAGTTTGAAGTCTTAATGTCAAAGGGTATTAAAGTTACGGCCTGGACAAAATTTGGATGATGAAGAAGAAGAAGAAAATCGACAAAAACAATATGTCTCCCCTGGAAGGGGAGACATAAATATATCAAACAGAATGAGTTCCGTTGGTATTTTGATTATAGACAGGACCGCCAAACATTGACTACCGAACCTTGTTCTTTCACCACTGTACTTCTTACTTGTGATCAGAATTAAATTTCAGTCATCGCAATGTCGCTTTACATTGTAAAAAGCAGAAAATAAACAAAGTTTAACATCGAGCGTGACACATAAATTTCTTTAACATCTGAATGTGACAATTATTACTTCTTTACACTTCATTTTGGGTGCTAAAGTGAAACTGTCATTAAATCGCAATGCAAGACCAGCTTGGGTATTTTGAATTCTATCGTCCACGTACTCCCCAAGATATTCGATGCGGAAAAGTTGGACTTTACGGAGACCAGTGAAGTGGATGAATGTGGTAGTTTGCGAAAAAAAACGACAAACCCTGGCAGCATTGGGAAGGGAGTTAACATGCCGAAAAAAATAGGCCAACGACGCACGAGTGAGAGGAACACCAACGTAAAGTTGACGAGCTCACAAACCAAATTCGCGCAATCGATTTCCTTCAGTTTTGGGGTGAATGTAACGACTATCATAGCCTACTGTAATAATAGCAGTTTTAGGGTAATGTGATGGTGTTTATACAGGTGCCAGGATGAATAGCCCGATCTTGACGTGGCGCTGTTACGCTTCATCGTCATCGTCACGTTTGGTTAGAAACCATTCTAGGCCCTTTTTTATGACGGTTAAGACGTTCTATGGTGGAAAAATTCACAACAATCGTCACAGAAACCTGTTCTTGCCTTTGTCCTTACTTCGGCAATGCAATAGCCAGACCCTATGGAACTTCCGTCAACCGTACCATGATTTCAAGAAATGCATATCGTCTGTAAATACCGAAACACGATTTTTATAACTTAAGTGCAGCAAGTGGTACGAAAAGATGTGTTGAAAAACATGTCGTCATCAATATGCACGTGTTTTCGACTTTTTACCACTTTCTCTACGTGATGTCATACATTTCACGGTTGAGTAATTCTGAACACTGATTTTAATGCACAGTAACCAAGATATCCATCTGACCAATTTTCATAATTTCCGGTTAAGCAGTAAAAACAAATTCGCATATTATGTTACCCTGCATATCTTTTTCTTTTCAGTATATATATATATATAACCTTCTTTCTTGTATTCTCATTCAATCAAATAACTTGTAAATTAAATTATATACAAGGATATTTTGATTAACACAATCTAGCAAAGGTGGGTAACTTTCGTTTGCTTCACTTATTACATTTGTGTACTATATCTCCTAGATACCAAGGAACAAAGAAAAGGCATATTTACAAATAATTGTATTTAATACATTTACATTTATATTGAATTTCGTTTGCTTGCTTAAGGACAGAGGAGAAGATTTTCAAAGCATAAATGCATTTTTTGCTAATCAATCAATACAGCCCCACCCAAGCACCAAAACCCCTGATCCTAACGCCATGAAATTGATAATATTGGAAGAGGCACCCTTTCTTATCATAACTATGTATTAATTTTGTTTGCTTAATATCAAGGAGCAGAGGAGGGGATTTTCAAAGCATTAATTTATTTTCAGTTTATAATAAATAACCCCCCCCCTGAACCCCTGATCCAGGGTCTATGAAAATCACAGTTCTGGAAGAGGCACTCTCCCTTATCATAACTATGTACTTAGTTCATCAGCTTAATACCCAAGAGCAGAGGAGGAGATTTAAAAAAAAAATTAATGCATTTTTACTAGTAAACATAAGAGCATTACCCTAAGACCAGAACCCCTGATCCTTGGGACATGAAATTCACAATTTTGGAAGAATCACTCTTGCTCATCATATCTTTGTATCTTGTTTATCGACTTAATACACAGAAGCAATGTGACGGATTGTTAAAGAATTAATGATTCTTTTTATTAAAGGTGCTTGGACACAGATTTGAAGTTAATATTTTCTCAAATTTTCTGTATAATATCAGGACTTATATATTTCAATAGCATTTCACACGAAAATATAATTAAAAACTTATTTTATCTGGAAATTATTCGAACTACGAATTCCTGGACGCGTTTGATTAACACATCCTTGCACTTTCACAAATTTTATCTTTATCCTTAATATTTAAGAAAAGAAGCGATTTTATTGTGTATTAATGAAAAACATTACATCTATAATCCAGAAAATTCAGTGTAGAAATGTGCGAAAGCAACTCCCCTCACTAATATCGTCAGCCCGTGCTCAGTGTTGAGTACAGAGTTTAACAAATTGAATACACCCGTGAAACGTAAACTGTTTTTGTAAACAGGGCACGAGCTCTGTTATTGTTAATGTTTTCAATTCACCGGGTGTGTTCAATTGTTAAAGTCTGCACACACCACTGAGCACGGACTGACAATACTGTGAGTGGGTTTTGCTTTCGAACATTTCTACTCTGAATTTTCTGGATTATAGTTTTAATATTTTTCATTAACACACAACAACATTGCCACTTTTCTTAAGTATTAAGAACAAAATTAAAATTTGTTAAAGTGCAAGGATGTGTCAATCAAACGCATCCAGAAATTTGAAGTTTCAATAACTTCGAGATGAAATAAGATTTTTATTATATTTTAGTATGAAATGCTATAGCAACATATAAGTCATGAAATTATACAGAAAATTTGAGAATATATTAACTTCAAATCTTTGTCCAAGCACCTTTAAATGATCATTAGAACCTAACACCTAAACCTGAGAGCCAGGGGATATGAAAATCATAATTTTGAAAGAAGCACGCTTGCTCATCATAACTATGTACCTAGTTTACCGGGTTGTTACCCAGGAGCAGCCTTCCTCAACATAAATATACATTTAGTTTGCTTAATACACAGGAGCAGAGAAGAAGACTTTTAAAGAAATAATGCATTTTCACTAAATATTCAACAGAGCCCCGCCCTACTGTCAAAACCCTTGACCCATGGGCCATGAATTTTGATAGAAGGCTCAATGCTCATTACAATCATGCCAACAATTTGACTGCTTAATGTTCTGGAGTAAAGAGGAGGATTTGTAAAGATTGCATTAATTTTGGTGGTTTTAGCCTTACCCCTCAGACCCTAGGAGGCAGGGGCCATAAATTTGACAATATTTGTTTCCCTTAACCCATATATACTGTATGCCAAACTTGGTTAAAATTGGTTCAGCCTTTCCAGAGAACAAAACTGAAAATGTACAAATGTTAATACACGACGCACGTCGCACGACGACGGACGAAAAGAGATAGCAATAAGTCACCCGAGTGACTCAGAAAAGGCGAAGGGTCATATTGTGTGATGGGTTGGAGACTGAGCCAATGAATATCATGATCGTAGATAAATTTTGTTTGGAAGGCGGTGCCATGTTGGGTTTCATTGGTCAATGGACAGCGATACAGACAAAAGTGGTTGAAACGGGACTTCAGGCCATCCAATATAAAGTTCTTTTAAATAGCGAACCAAGAAAACTCACGGAGTCAAGAATTCCTATTTAGTTCAAAAGACTCTCATAAATCTTACAACCATTTTGACTTTTAAATTCACGAATTTTGATCTAAATAGGCTTGATGAGAATTCTTATAGTTTATAGTTTTATAAACTTTAAAACTGTGGATTTCACAAATGCATACGATAACTGTGGAAACTATGATCTTTCAAAAAAGGTATCTATCATTTTATGAGCTTTTTAAAAAAAAGATTGTCTCCTTTTATATCTGTATGGTCGCAAGGAAATGAATGAATTTATTTACATTAAATGGACGGTTAGATATGAAATACCATAAAAGAAAGTTTGTTATTGTTCTGTATATCGATATGAGCATTCCACTCACAATATAACGTAAAGAAGGGATATGTATTGATATGTTTTTCTTTTTGATAATGTTTTACTGTATATCTTTCTTTCCCCGTGCACCCAGGAATGTCCATGCTGCAGTATTTGTAAATAAGAAGAACAGATTTTTAGTTTATATTTTATTTACAACACTTAAATAAATTACTGAGATCTTTCATTACAGAACATTCAGTTACAGACATATAAATAGACTAAAAAGATAATCACAGGAGAGAAAAATGTCTCTTTTAATACAATTGTAAAGTGTCTTTTTCATTGGAATAATTTCATTAGCATTATTTGCTTGTTGAAGTTCTTTTCTAATTATCATCTATTAAGTGAGAGAAAATTAAAGATAAAAATAGAAACACCTAACGACCATTCTTCTGAAAGCATATATCAAAACTGAAAAGAAATATTTGTTTATAATGTTAATGAAATTATAAAATTGTAATGTATTTTATTGAATGTTGTACCTAATGACGTTTGACCATCATCACTGTTCCCCTGACAGATGTACTGGATGTAACTGTAGGCCTCCAAGGATCATGCCAGTTCTCTGGATACCAGGGACCATTGAGGAAAGCGTCGTGACAGGCGTTATACCACCAGCCTCCTTTCCACTTAGCAGCACAATTACCTCCACTCCATCTGTCGTTGTCTCTGTCTGGGGTAGAGAAGTACATCCCTGATAAATCCGCCCCGGACTTACCAGTGTTCAACATCCTATCACCTATAACATTTAAGAAAACAATAGGTCCATTGGCCACATCCCTCACCTGAGCACAATGACTAGGAAAAAGCACAAATCAATTCAGTATTGAAAAGTTTACATGAGGGTGGGGACTTGAAATTTAAACCTGAGGATGCTTCCATAACAATATAAGAAATGGCTTTGCTGTTCTTGAGCAGAAGATTTTTAAATATTTGTTCTTATATATTCCTTTGTAAAAATTTGATATCCCATTGTGGCCCCTCCCTACCCCCAGGGGTCATCATTTGAACAAACGTTAATCTGCAATACCTGAGGATGCTTCCATATCAAAATTACTAAACATGGCTACGCTGGTCTTGAGCAAAAAGATATTTTCCCTTTTATATTCCTATATAAAACTTTGATCCCCCATTGTGGCCCCAGCCTACTCCCGGGGGTCTCAATTTGAACAAACTTGAATCTACAATACCTGAGAATGCTTCTATATCAATATGACTAAACATGACTTTGCTGTTCTTGAGAAAATTTTTAAAGATTTTTCATACATATTCCTATGTAAAACATTGATCCCCCCTTGTGGTCCCACCCTAATCCCCAAGGGTCATGATTTTAACAAATTTGAATCCATACTACCTGAGGATGCTTAAATATCAATATGACAAAACAAGGCTTAACTGTTCTTGGGAAGATTTTTAAAGTTTTTTCCTATACATTCCTATGTAAAACTTTGATCCCCAATTATGGCCAGACCCTAACCCCAGGGGTCATGATTTGAACAAACTTGAATCTACACCATGTATCTAAGATTTCCTATAAGTTTCAACTTTTTTTGGTAAGTAGTTATTGAGAAGAAGATTTTTAAAATATGCAACCAAATTTTTACTATTTCTGAATTATCTCTCCTTGAACGAGGGCGTGGTCCTTCATTTGAAAAAAACAAAAAACAACAAAAATTTGAATCCCCTTTACCCAAGGATGCTTTGTGGCAAGTTCGGTTGAAATTGGCCTTGTGGTTCTGGAGAAGTCGAAAATGTGAAAAATTTACAGAAGGACGGAAAGACAGACGGACTACAGACAAAGAAAGCTCACTTGAGCTTTCAGCTCACTTGAGCTAAAAAAAGAACACAGCTACATAATACAGATCTTTGATCATTTTGATAGGAATTGTAAATCTGGTATAAATCTTTGTCATCATTTTGAGTTCTAAAGCCATTCTCTCACTGTACAGAGGTACAGTAGAATAAAACATTACATACCATGATTAATTGTATGTACGTATCTTTTTTTTTTTCATTTTCTCGAGGCGTAATAAAAGTAAAAGTAATAGAAAATATGAACGAAGTCACTAAAAGGGATAGAACATGCAAAAAATGGATGAAATATTAAAACCTGTTTCAGACTTGGGTTTTTAGCTCACCTGAGCCGAGGGCTCAAGTGAGCTTCTCTGATCACATTTTGTCCGGCGTCCGTCTATCTGTCTGTAAACTTTTCACATTTTCGACGTCTTCTCAAGAACTACTGGACCAATTTCAACCAAACTTGCCTGAAAGTATCCTTGGGTGAAGGGGATTCAAGTTTGGTCAAATGAAGGGCCACGCCTTTTTCAAAGAGAGATGAATACGAATTAGTGGAAAAATAATGGCATCATTAGAAAATCTTCTTCTCAAGACCCACTTGGCCAGGAAAGATGAAACATATGTGGAAACATCCTCAAGTAATATAGATTCAGGTTTGTTCAAATCATGACCCTCGGAGTTAGGGTGGGGCCGCAATGGGCAATTAAATTTTTACATAGGAATACATAGGAAAATTCTAAAAACTCTTCTTCTCAAGAGCAGGAGAGCCATTATTGGTCATATTAATATGGAAGCATCCTCAGGTAGTGTTGATTCAGGTTTATTCAAATCATGACCCCCGGGGTTAGGGTGGGGCCACAATGGGGGATCAAAGTTTTACACAGACATATATGGGAAAAATTTCTTTAAAAATCTTCTTCTTAAGAACAGCAAAGCCATGATTGGTCATATTTATACGGAAACATCCTCAGGTGGTGTAGATTCAAGTTTGTTCAAGTCATGACCCCCGCGTTAGGGTGGGGCCACAATGGGCGATCAAAATTTTACTTACATGTAGGAGTTTATAGGAAAAAAAATCTTCAAAAATCTTTTACTCAAGAACAGGAAAGCTATGATTGGTCATATTTATATGGAAGCATTCTCAAGTAGTGTAGATTCAAATTTGTTCAAATCATGATCCCTGGTGGAAGGTTGTGGCCACAATGGGGGATCAAAGTTTTACATAGGAATATATAGGATATTTTTTTTTCTGAAGAACAGAAAAGCCATGACTAGTCATTTTGATATGGAGGCTTCCTCTAGAAGGGTAGAATCAAATTTGGGCCCCCAGGGGGTGGGTGGGATCAAATTTTTACAAATGAATATATATAGTAAAAAATCTTCTGCTCGAAACAGCAAAGCCATTTGTTATATTGATATGGAAGCATCAACAGGTAGTTTAAAATTCAAGCCCCCCCCCCCCGTAAACTTTTCAATACTGAATTGATTTTTGCTTTGCCTTTTTTCCCTAGCAAATGTGTTCAGGTGAGCAATGTGGACCATGGGCCTCTTGTTATACATTGTATGTACTATTGTAAAAGATATGAAAAGAAATACAGTCAAATCTCGAACTTCTTGGGACCGAGAAGAAACTTCGAGATATCCGAGGTTTCGAGATATGGAGGGTAAAATACTTAAAGTATGTCTGGTTGGGACTTGCAGATCACTTCGACATATCCATGGTATTCGAGATATTCGTGTAACAGAATAATCGGAAATCATTCGGGCTTTTTCGTGATGTCGAGATCAATATCGACCTTTCCGTCAAGTACAGAAAATTAATTAAAAAGAAATATTTTTTAATTTACCTATCCTCGAGATTCACGATCAAATGTTCAACATGTCCAAAAATTTATTTTCACAATAGTTCCAAAAGTATGTGGTTTATAAAGATAAAACTTTTACAGTTTATAAATATATCATTGATTAACAGATAGAAAGTATCTCTTGATAACAAATACTTAGAAAAAATTAATTATCGAGAAAAATTCTTTTAAAAAATGCATATATTTTTAAAAACTACGCCTAATTAATTCTGTACTTTTAGTGAAAGCCATCATTGCAGAAACAATATTTGTTTATCAATGAAGGGCAAGTTGGACTTCGATAGCCTCTGGAAAGTTGTTTTTCCTGTTTATTTTGTCCAAATGTTAAGATTTTAAACCGGAAGTACATTGCAAATGGCGGATTTTATATGGGTCTTGCCTTTATACATGTCATGCTTTCAATAACAGCCTTTCAGAGACCATTCACGTCCAACTTGCCCTTCATTGATAAACATATACTATTTCTGCAATGATGGTTGTCACTAAAATTTCAGAATTAAGCAGGTGCATTTTTTTTTAAATATGCAAATTCTTTGAATTTTTTTCTCTCAACAATTTTTTTTTTTGAAATTTGTTTTCAAGTGATACTTTCTATCTGTTAATCAATGATATATTTATAAACTGTAAAAATTTTAACTTTATACCTCACATAGTTTTGGAACTATTGTAAAAATAAATTTTTGGACATCTTGACCTGAAGACAACTAATAGAACAATCGAAACATGTCTTTTTCCGTTAAGTCAAGAAAGACTGAAGTTTTAGGTCGATAGATTGAAAAGGCCAAACTGTGTTCTAATATTTCATATCGCGATTACTTAAATTAATGGAACTCTTTCTCGGTGAAGGTAGAAAATGTCTGTTAGCTGGGGGCAATGTGCTGTTGCATACAACGCAAGATGGAGCAATATATGTTTTTTAAAAGACAGATGTTAAAGAAATATCTTGCGGAACATTCGCTGAACCACGTTTATAAATTTTAAGAGAATCTAGTCCTCATATGTTATATTTTATTCATACTTTTTCACTAAGCCAACTCTTCTAATTAAATTCAACCATTTCTTTCTGACAATCGTTACTTTTGGAAGCTGGAAAAAAAACCTAAACACTCCAAATTAGACAACCTACTATTTGAAGTTCAACCCTTTGCAAGACATTGTACCTTCGGCAAACTCATTGTTGGGATCATTCAATTATCACTAGCGTAAATAATTCATACCCCGGAAATCTCGCGAGATTTAGAGTTTCCTCGACTTCCCTGCAAAAGTTAGATAACTGTGAGGTAATCGCGATAATAATTATTGCTTATTGAGTGCAATTCAGTTTCAGTTTTTCTGGTTAATATACATGTAATTAATACGAGATGATATCCCGCTCAAGCGCATGAAATTGAATTTATACCACTACCGACAGAAAAATTCCAATAATATATATTGTAGCTTCTACTGACAGCCTACAGGCTTATAGTAGGAAGAAATACTTCGTTCAAAATCCTGTATTTAGCTATGGAGCAGAAGCAGATGTACGCCCCCCCCCCCTTTGTAAAAAACTTGAAAAATAACAATTTCATTAATTGACGTTTATATTGTGAAATCTGTAATACTATGTTATGGATATCGTACTTACTTGATTTCCGTCAAGGATAAAATCAGCGGATATGCACATTTGAATGATAAATTGATTTTTTTAAACATTAGCCTTTAACGCCATATGAATGGGACGAGTATTTGATACAAAAACCGTATTCAGAAGAAAAAAAATGAAATGTATTGATTAAAGCACAAAATTTTAACAGCTTAAATTGTATTTGAACAATACCTTATCTATTAATTTTCTCTTTTTATGTAAGCAAATTTATTACGAAGTACAAAATGTACTTCGGAATCGTAGTCACTATGGTCTCAGTGAGAAATTCGAATATACAAATTTTACCGATAAATTTATTAGGAAAACCTACTAAGTCTTTCGATATATAAATATATTAACAACTTATAGTGTTATGAATGATTTACCATAATTTCAATGACCATTCACACAAAACCTTTTTTATGTTCATGCAGCTATAATCGCCTTATAATTTCTTAACATTGGGCTCGATGCTATATGATGTTCTAGAAGTTTCCGTCAATATTAACATCGGTGAATGACGAAAATAATTTGCACATTTTCCTTTTTAATCGGTTATCGCAACTCATTTCTTTTATATCATTAAAATCAAGTTTTGATTGAATAATTCAGTGATGACATTTTATGAAACAAATAAACGATTGCCTGTTTTCAGTTTCATTAAAAATTGCCAGTAATTTAGATCCGCCAACCGGAACCGCCTCCATACTCATGTTTTTGCTATTTTATGGCTGTTTATAGAAAATAAAAGTAGACTTTTAATTTAATGTATGATACTTACTTTGCGAGTGAAATCTGAATATAGTTTACGGACATCTGCATGTATCTAGTGTATTCATAGAGGAGCTAGTAAGAACTCTGGTACACCTGTTTCGGAGTTTATTTGCAAAATTTAATAATTTATAAGTATAGATACTTTGAAATATAATAGCATTAGGTTATAAACATGTTTGTAAATGTTAGTTATCTAAAACCTACTTTTAAGAATTCATGACATATAAATTAACGGTTTGATGTATTCTTGAAGATAAGCCAAAGGTCATTGTCAGGGAAAGTGTAACGCTATTTTTCAACATGTCTTAGGTCAAGTAGTGCACTTGCCAAATAGCACAGACTTACCTCTCAAAGGTCAAAGAAAGCCCTCGATGCCCTCTGAGCTTGGACCGATATCAACCGCTCGGGATGATACCAGGGCCGATATCAAAACAGCAATGTGATATTATACATGTACACATTTGTCCCTTTTTTACTTTCGCTCGTCTGTCTCCATCTCTCTCTTTCATACCTCGTTCTACTTGTCACGTACCCAAGGTTCCTGTGGCAGTTGGAGCCAGAAAGAGTCGATACTTCTCCGCTTCATTGGAAATGGAGAAGCCAGCATACAACTCATATAGTCTGCTACCATTCGCTAGTGTGATGGAAACATATAGTTTCGAGTTCTTTCCCTTTGTTAACTGATGAATGACGTCATTTCCTGTATTCAGATTTACTCGATATCAATTGACGTATACAGCAGTGATTTTTTTAAAAATATAATTTAAACTTAAGAATAAATTACATCTTATCCTGAAGTTATGTAATTTATAAATAATACTTAATAATTGTTTAACTTAAAGACATTGCGGTGAAATGTTATCATTATGGTAAAATATTTGAGCATGGTCATATTCTGAAGTGAATTTTATTTCTCTTACTGGATTTTTCATCTTCTCCTTTGTTTCAGTCTATTTTTAAGAGTGCAACAACACACTATATTTGAATATAACCGATCGTACATCACAAAAGTTTAAAAGAAGATCTATGTTTCCTTTAATTTCATATGCCCCTAAAAGATCACTCGTTAAATACGATAAATTTTATATTTACCGATCCAGTCATTCTTTTTCGGTGTCCCAAATCCGTTCTTATATTCTTCCCAATTCTTTTCGAAGCTCTGGGATCCATCCTCTCGTTTCTGTATAACCTTCCAAAGATTAATATATTTCAATTAATATTGTGGCGAACATTTCTGAGATAAGTGTAATACTCAGTGTGTATGCTTTCTGTTCCCTTTCATTCCCTTGCATAATAGAACTACAGGTTCACGTCATACGCCAAGTCTGAAGCTTTTTAAATAAGGCCATTCCAAGTTTTTTTCAATGTTTAGCGTCCGCGTGCGTCTTGGTTTTTGATACTCCATATCAGAAAAAAACCCAAACAATATCAGGAGTCCTGAAATCGGTTATTGTGGTCACAATCTTTGAATTCTATCAATTTCTATCAATATTTGTCTATACTATGTCAAATTAAGAATATTTTAAGCATTTAATACCTCGGTTTTGCTGAAGAATAGATCTTTCGACGAGGAAAATAGATTTATAAAATCAAATCTTTTGAATTACGTCATTTTTACGACTATAAAGTCTTTGTTTTATTTTTTGGCTTGTGTGTTTTTTGCGAATAGGTAGGTAGGTTTTTGAAAAATGGGTGGACGCTAAACTGAGAAAAAACTTAGAATCGCCTAAGATAGATACCGTCCATCCACCATCCATTGTGTCCATATCACAGTGAACTCTGACAGGACTGGTAATGGTGCCATAGGGATAAATCTCATACACACCGGAGGTATTGTGACCATTTCCATGGTGGTCCTTACAGTCTTTAGCCAGAACTAAAACAGTAAAAAAATACCTCTTGAAAAATATGAAAGTTTCACAGATGATTGGTTGTTATTTTCCAAAGCCGAGTCGGCAATATTTCAGCGGTAAATATGAACATTTTTGGGGGGAGGGGGGTTCTTCGGCGGCCTCCAATGAGCATTTTCTTTTTTGAAAACCAGAGAATCTTTTACGTTGCCAAGGGGGAACTATTTATGAATCTTAAAGCAGTTCAGCCAACAGGTTTCTTATATTAGAAATACATGTATTGATGTAAAGATATTGTACCCTATCGTGAAAATAATAATGGTTCTGTTCCTTGTTTTAAAATCATTGTCTTGGCTGTGGGGATGCATAACTGAGGTGCGAGAGGACTCGGAAGCAAAATCTTTCAACTTGGACGATCACACAGTACGATTTTAGTCGAAAACAAATTAAATGGAAAAATCTGATGGAAAATCGAATGAATTCTGTGACCGCACCTAAAGTCAATCCTACATTATTTTTAAGATGTGGAAGGTCATAAGTAGAAAAAATGTTCATCTTTGTTTAATTCTGAATATTTAGCCCTTCATTAATCTGCTGATAAAGTTAATCCACACATATTGAAAGATAGCTGTTAACTGGTCGAATTTAAAGACTGTGAGGTTTCTTGTGCTTTTTGAGAGAAATTCAAGATTTTAAGTTGTATTGAGAACAAAAATGAACAAGAGGCCCATGGGCCACATCGCTCACTTGAGCACATTGGCTAGGCGAAAGGACAAATCAGTTTAGTATTGAAAAAATTACATTCGGGGGGGGGGGGAGATAGAGAGAGAAGGGGGTTGAATTTCAAACTACCAGATGATGCTTCCATGTTGATATAACAAATGGCTTTATTGTCCTTCAGAAGATTTAAAAAAAAAAATTCCTATATATTTCTTGAAAAATTTGATTCCCCATTGTGGCTCCTCCCTATCACAGGGGTCACCATTTGAACAAACTTGAATCTAAACTACCTGAGGATGCTTCCATATCAACATGATCAATATGACTAAACATATCTTCTCTGTTCTTGAGAAGAATTTTTTTCTTTATGTTCTTATGTAAAACTTTTGATCCCTCATTGTACCCCCCCCCCCCCCCCCTAGACACGGAGGTCATCATTTGAACAAAATTAAACCTACACTACCTCAGGATGCTTCCATGTCAAAATGAATAAACATGATATTTTCCTAAATATTTCTATTTAAGACTTTGATCCTCCATTGTTGCCCCACCGTACCCCCGGCGTCATGATTTGAATAAAATACAATCGCACTACAGAGGATGCTTCCACATTAATATGACCAATCAGAGCCTTGCTGTTCATGAGAAAATTTTAAAGATTTTTCTTATATATTTCTAAGTAAAACTTTGATCCTCCATTGTGGCCCCGTCCTACCCCTGGGGGTCATGATTTGAACAAACTTAAGGGGACCGACTGGGGTTTTCATTGCGCAATACTTTGCGCAGCATAGTAAAATAAAGCGTATTTACTCTTTTAAAGCAACTATTTTTACATAATTTATAAAAATTAACAAATTTAGGAAATCTCAGGTTAAAAAATCTAATAACGTTTTCAAATAACTGATTTTTTAATCGATTTTTCAAATGATGGGTAGATAGACGTCGTAATAGTGTGTTTTTGACGTTATGAATAACCGAAGTTCTTTAAGCGGGGTCATTAATTCTGTCATAAAATAAAAAAGTATAAAATAGATGCTCTTGAAATTTTAAACATAGGAAATTGGGAATCTCAGAATCATCTTTATTATTTTTTATATAAATCTGTGGTATCTGTCCTGTTTTGTTGTAGTCCATAAAAACAGGAAAATATCACGAATTTTGACATTTTGAGATGAATTTTGTGTTTCTTCAATAAAAATGTACAATATAGTATTACCCCTCAAATAATATAATTTGAACAAAATGTCTATAGTAGTATTTGTATAATTTGCTCCAAAGTGTGAAAAAATGGTATTTTCCTATATAATCCTATAGTAAATGTACCTGTATTTTGAGATGGTCCCTACAAAATAACTAAACGGTAGATTTTCACTAAACTTGGCATGTATACTAAAGTCATTCTAAGGTACATATGGTATAAAATTAAAGAGTTTCTCTATAGTAGTTTTCACACAATAAAACCTCAGTCGGCTCCCTTAAATTTACACTACCTGAGGATGCCTCCATATTAATATGACCAGTCAGGGCTTTGCTGTTTCTGAGTAGACGATTTTTAAAGATTTTTCCTATATATTTCTATGTAAAACTTTGACCCTCCATTGTGGCCCCTCCCTACCCCTGGGGGGTCATGATCTGAACAAACTTGAATTTACACTACCTGAGGATGCTTCCATATAAATATGACTCATCATGGCTTTGCTGTTCTTGAGAAAAATTCTTTTAAGACTTTTCCTATATATTTCTATGTAAAACTTTGATTCTTTATTGTCGCCCCACCCTGCCCCTGGGGGTCATGATTTGAACAAATTTGAATGTACACTACCTGAGGATGCTTCCATATAAATATGACTCATCAGTTCTTTGCTGTTCTTGATAGGAAGATTTTTAAAGATTTTTCCTATATATTTCTATGTAAAACTTTGATCCTCCATTGTGGCCCCGCCCTACTCCCCCGGGAGGTCATGATTTGAACAAACTTGAATCTACACTACCTGAGGATGCTTCTGTATAAATATGACTCATCTTGGCTTTGCTCTTCTTGATAGGAAGATTTTTAAAGAATTCTTTTATATATTTCTATGTAAAACGTTGATCCTCCATTATGGCCCCGCCCTACCTCTGGGGGTCATGATTTCAACACACTTGAATCTACACTACCTGAAGATGCTTCCATATAAATATGACTCATCATGGCTTTGCTGTTCTTGAGAAGAAGATTTTAAAAGATTTTTCCTATATATTTCTATGTAAAACTTTGATCCTCCATTGTGGCCAAGCCCTACCCCCAGGGGTCATGATTTGAACAAACTTGAATCTAAACTACCTGAGAATGTTTCCACACGAGTTTCATCTTTCCTGGCCCTGTGGTTCTTGAGAAGAAGATTTTTGAAAGATGCTATTAATTTTTCACTAATTCTTAATTATCTCCTCTTGGAAGAGGGCGTGGCTCTTCATTTGAACAAACTGGAACCCCCTTCACCCAAGGATGCTTTGTGGGAAGTTTGGTTGAAATTAGCCCAGTGGTTCTGGAGAAGTCGAAAATGTGAAAAGTTTACAGACAGACGGACTACGGACAAAATGTGATCAGAAAAGCTCATTTGAGCTTTCAGCTCAGGGGAGCTAAAACTATATTGCATGCTTTCTTTTTTTTTTTTTTATTTATTCTTAAATACGAGTTTTATTACCGGTTTTATGCTTTAAAGAGACACTGTGACTGAAAAACAGGAAAATTGACAAAAGTAGGATTTTTGCAAGACACATGCAAATTTTATTCAATTTTTGAAGTAATAGGTTTCAGAAAATTACAGGTTTCAGAACCTAAAAAATCTACTTTTATGGAGAAAAATAGAAGTAAAAATAATTTTAGTTTGCCCCAACACGAAAATATTGCTTCACTTCTTCCTCTTTAAGGTACATGTACGCATGCGCAGAAAAGTTGAAGAAACTACCAAGGTGTCAATTCCATAGATATAAATGTCTGATGACCGAGTATTTTGATATAATCTTCAAAAAGATCATCAGATCTTATTCCTCAGTTATGATTGCTCCAATTCAATGTTGTTTACAAGCTTCACGTTAAAAATAAAAGATACATGACCTTGACATTGTTGACATTGTCAGTAACAACCACGCCATAGACACAACTGTTCTTTTTCCGGTACTTACATTTTACAGTCTTTTCTTGCTTTTACCGTGCAGTTGACATCTCAAAACTTCGCTTTATTCATATTTCTCATAAATCTTTAGCTTTATGATACAATTATTTTAGAAGAAACACATGATATTGACTCACTATATAACTTTAATATAATTAATATGGTAAAAGGTATTTTTTGTCACATGCTGAAAACATTTTTTTTTTCAATATTGAAGATCTATGTACCTCTATTTGCAAATAAATAATTATAAATAATTGACTAAGTTTAGCCACAAAAATATTTTTCTCAAACTCCCCAAAATGTTCTATCAAGTGAAAATATGTAATTTATAAGAAAATGGCCAGTTAGTGAGAATTTTGAACATCATAGAAACTCATTTTCTTGATATTTTAAGAATTTGATATTATCTCAATTTATAATGAAACCAAGTTTTAAAATGTATATGAATCTGGGATGCATGTTTGTGGCAAGTGTACTTAAAATGTTTGTTTAAAAAAGATTTCAATGGTCCTTTGATATAACCAACAAACCTTGTATTGAAGATGGCATTGATTTTGTTTACTAACGATTTAAAAATATTGAATTGTTGGATCAACGATGTATTGATTGGACAGTAAGTACTTTTATGTCAGACCAATATTTAATATGATGGTTATGGAAAACAAAATCACTAACCTGTGCCTGGATAATTGATTTTAATTTTTTTTCTCGAACTTTGTGTTTTACATTAACATTAAGGCAAATTTTATTTACAGGTACCTTGAAAAACCCTAACAAAAATACTACTACTGTGGTTAACTATAATTAACTATAGGAAATCAAAGTTTTCAAAGTGATCACTATAGTGTCATGGTGATCATTTAAGTAAAAGATTTCAAAATGATCAGTATAGTGTCATTGTTATCACTATAGTAAAACACAGTTTTCAAAGTTATCACTATAGTGTCAAAGTTATCACTATAGTACCAAAGTTATCAATATAGTAAATTAAAGTTTTCATCATAGTAAACCAAAGTTTTCTTAGTGTTCACTGTAGTATCTCACCGTTTTCATAGTTTTCACTGTAGTGTCATAGTGATCACTATGGTAAACCAAAGTTTTCATAGTTATCACTACAGTAAATCAAAATGTCAAAGCTATATCTATAT